TGGAACCATGGATAGAGGTATATATGGGTATTGATTCTCTTCCATCAGAGATATATCCATCTTTATATTTATCTGTCATTCTATTCTATAACTTCCGAAATTTCAGAAAGAATAATAGATAAATATGAAGATAATCAGATACGACGTAGTCGCCTGCCATGCAAACAAAACATGATAAAAAAAGGTCAATAAAGTCACATAGAGGATTTAAGGGCACTACCAGAAACTTATGAAATTTCCTTTTCTATCACAATGAATCAGAAACGAATGTAATAGGGAAAGGCTCACCCTCGTTGTTCCTCCAATTGCAGTTTTTCCTGTTCTTGTCGAAGTTTCAACTTCGCCTCCGCCAGGGTCGCCTTTTTGACCTCATACCACTCCGAGCAACTCTTTGTTCGCAGACGAGCTGATGGACGAACAACTGGTAATCGAGCTAAAGCAGATCTTCATATACAAATATGAACAAAATTCAGAGTAGGAAGTATTGTTAAAGGCACTTTAGGTTTTCAAAGATGATGTGCCGCTGAAAAGCTTCCATGAAGGATTTTTAAAAGCTCAAGAAATCGGAGGTGCATTGAATGATGTGATCGCAGGTATTGCGCCTCCGGTTGCGGCAAAAAGTGCCGTAAGCGATAAAATTCAACTTCATGGTAAAGCCAATATTTAGAGAGGGTGCGCGCAAAAGCAAACTGAATTAAGGGAACTGGCCCAATGGAAAGGGTGACTAGAGGTCATACGCTGTTCCACAAAGATGGTAAGCAATTTGAAACTTCCTGGAAAACAGATCATGTTGGTGAAGTGCCCACGTTTGCTCATATGGCTCTTCCGGAAAGCCAGAATTGCAGAGATCAACAGAGCAATGCTTAAAGGAGTTTTCATCTCCAAAAGAATAGCATGCAGCCCTAGGAAGCGCTCACGAGTCGCCTACATTCGACACGCAGATTAAGATTTTTCATTGCGTAACCGCCAGATAACAAAGTGATTCGAATCGTGAATGCAGTGATAGCAGTAGCGACTGTACCAAAGCCCAACTTTCACCTCGTACTCATACGGGAACAAGCGGTTGTCAAAAATTACCCAATGACAAAGATTCAGATGTAAAAAAAATACCCACCTGCATATGTCTCACCATCTTTAGTTATCCGCTGAGTATATGCGTTGGCAGAACTGTGCCACTCACGTAGAATATCATATAACCGTGATGGAACGGACTCGAGCGAGGGGTACTGAATTTTACTATATGTACCTACACTATGTATATTAGACCAATTTCATCGAAGTATCACTCCAGCGTTTACGTGACAGAAAGGAAACAATCGATTTCAAACTGAATCCTTACCAATGCACTATTCATCATCACATCGTGGTAGAGATGAGCAAGCCCATCCTCATTTTCCGGTATTGTATCTTCATCGAGACCATATTCTTTCACATAAAGGCGCTCATCCCGCTTCTCCGATCCGACACGTTCCATCACACTCCTATGATAGGTAGACCTAATGAGCTCTGAATAGATCTTAGAATTTCTAGTAAGCACAATATGGAGGGAAACAGAATTTTATTCCGATTGAAGGACAGTGGCGGTAGTGGCTAGCGGCGCTGTCAAACAAACGCACGCTCCTGGATCAACTCCCAGAAAGAACCAAGCTTATGCCTGCTAGTCTTCTACCACTTCGATGCAGGCCGGCCGGCAATTGGCACAAGCCCCTGGAGCCTTTCACTCGTTTTTTGAGCCGCAGTGTCATTACTCCCAGGGAGGAGCATGGCAAAGAAATGATCATTATGAGGAGATGAGTGCTCCATGTTGTCGATTCTGACATTTGTACTCACAGTGACCCCTCCATTTCAAAAAATAAAACGTGAACAGACTCACACGGAAATGACGTATGAAACATATAAAGCCAACAATGCAGACTAATACAAACCTGTAGAGTGGCAGTGTGGACTCGCGTGGGAAAATTCGAACGAAACCGCCTCGTCGAGACATTTCCGCTCTAGCTCGACGACATATGGACCGCATGCTTGGATCGGCACCCCCGGGAGTTGTGACGAACGCATTTCGCACTGGTCGCCTTCGCTGAAACACAACGGCATCTATAACGACGGGTACTAATGAAGCGGCAAGAAAAAGTTTATAGGGTACCTTTGTTGTGATTCCTCGTTTTGATGGACTGATTACTTTCTTGTTTTTCTCTGCCATCAACTCCCCGTCATCCGAATCTGGAACAACTTGGTGGTTTCCAAACACATCTGACGATGTAGGGACGGGAACGCACCAAAACTGTCGTCTCTGCTTGCACGAACTGATTCAATTCCGGCAAGTTTTCGGTTCACTAGGGGCACACACGCGAGATTGAATAGGTCACATATAAGCCTGGTCTTCACTAAGGAGTCCAAAGGAGCGTCACTAAAAAAGGAATCCTCAACTGAAATACTGTAGAAAGAAAAAAATTGTAGTACCAAAACATTCACAGTGAGCAGCTCTATAGTTGAAAAGCAGAAGCAAAATCGATCAAGTTTAATAAAGGCATAAAAATAGGAACAGAGGAATGCGAGAAGAACGAGGAAACTCACCAGGAAAGGCTGGGAGACAAATTGACTTCAAGTAGCCAAGGCTTAAGTTCCGCGTCAACGAGAATATCAAAACCGAACAACTCGAAATTCGTCCCTACATAAGGAGTGGCAGTGCGACATGCTGAGGTGATGCGTGTTTGCACGGAAAGTAGACTCTTTATTATAACATCTTCGATTCGTAGCATCAACACTGAAATCCGGTTACTTGAACATTGTAACGAGACAAGTGACTTATTCATAGATTGTAAGCAGAAGTGCTTTTGCTATAGGAAATTCATGGAGAAAAAAGTCGTAGACGGCGCTCTAAAGGCAGCTAACACGGTGGCTAGAGAGAGGAGCCGTTTTGTGATGTCATTATTGGTGGATCAACCCCTCTACGCGCCGGGTGAGGGAGAGAGGATAGGCTTGCTAACGCCCTTCCCCCAGTCACGCTCGATGAAGCCACTGAAATCGCTCCGCCTTTCAGCCATTGTGTTCACTGCTTTTGAATGAGTGGTCTCAGAAACATCAAAAAGCACTGAATGCAAGGTAAAGCAGCTAGTAACTTATCGCCTCCAGAACGACTTTATACTCTGAACCGAACTCACTTTTCGAATCAATTCTAAATTTTTCTAAGTGACGTAATAAGGCGCCCAAGGTCCACTTGTGACCGAAATCCTCGCTCGCCATGCTTTCATTCCTAGAAGAAATACACTTCTATTCGGTTCTTGTTAGTTCCAAGTAGAGAAATAACACACGAAGAGCCAACTAATAATCGAAATCTGAAAACCTACCGCACAAAATTTGAATTGTTTTTATTAATAGAATAATTCGTGAGGTGAATAAAGGCATCTCGGGAGTCCACTTCACTGCGATACTTCTCTGATGCGACCCTGAAAAAGAAATTTTGACCACTTCAATGAACAAATTAGCATGCAACATCGTGAATGGTACAAAAAGATGCTGACCGTGTTAAACCCTCGGAATAAACATAGATTATCAAAGGATAGAATGAAGTGACAGCAACATATATTCGGAGATCAAATTTATGACCATTCACCAGTAATGGATTCTCTACATAACGTGAAACCAGCAGTGTGTCAGCGCGGGGAATTTCATCTACCTGAAATTTCCAAGATTATTAAACGCCAACAGAACTTCGATAACGATCCCTATCGAGAAACAAATTAGAAATTCGAGACCCAATTTCGAGGATGTCCATCGTCCTTTCTTCCTCCTCTTCAGATTTCTGCTTTTTGTTCTTTTTGATACAGACGAAATTTAACCTGATTTAAAAACGCGCAGTCAGGTACACAGGTCCTTGAATGGACCCATACTTAGCTACTTAGCTGATAATTCTAATGCAGGTAGTTGAAGTAAGAGCCGACTCACTTCAGCAGTAGCTGATCTAACGACAGTATTTTGATACTCTAGATGAAGGATAGGTCGAAAAGTTGGAGAAATTATGAAGGTAGATCATTCATAACGTCACCATCAAATCGAAACCATCTATGGGTTCTTTTTCAGACTTCTTGTAACTATGAGATATAAGAACAGTCTTACCGTGCTGGCGAAGAAGATACCCTGTCCCCGTGATGAGCTCACTGGCTTTACGATAAACGTGGAATCTGCCATCGAATGTTGGATCGCCGTTTCCAAAAGCGATGCATCTCGAGGGGTAACGAAAAATTCCGGAATCTGGCAATGACAATGGTTTGCATTAAAGCACTGAGTGGTATGTTATGAGGTATTAGCCATAGAAAACAAATAACAAAAGAAAGATAACGATCAATACTCAAAACGTACAAAGCTAAACGCGTCACCAAATATGGCAGCAGACCGCGCTATGTTGTCATACAATTTGTCCTTTCTAGTTAGCTCAGTCGACCTTGGAAACTGATTTAGACGTTGCCTGCAAGAGTTATTTAAATCTGGGACCACTTTGAGATAGGAAGCGCAGATAGTTCCGCCGTTGGTTCAAATCACACATTTGACTTTCATTCTAAATCGTCGAGGCATTTGAATGCTATTCAGCCTAGACAGCAACATGCGAAAGCATCCATTGTCAAAGCCATTGCTTTTATTCTTAAAGCAAGTCTCGCTCTGATAGTTCACAAACAGATGGAATGACTGCTTGGCTGGCAATAATACACGAACTACGCTTGTGCTAACGGCGCCAAAGGTCACAGCGCCATTCAGCTTCCCGCATTTCATGAATGGAGCAACGAGAAACTATAATAAAATCACAAACGTCTAATTTCCATCAAAGCAAAAACTAACCACGGCTGAATATTGCGCATCTGGGTTGCACGCATTGCAACGAACCACACCAAGCCTGTTAAATGATGGATTCTTACGAGAACACTGAAATCCTTTAGGGTAATAAAAACTGGTCACATCAATGTATTCTTTGCCAAAAGAGATATATTGAAATTATTACTTGAGTAAAGCCATGACTATGCAGAACCGTTTTCACCAGTTTCGTGTCGCTCTTCACCTGTAAAAATATAGTATACAGTTGAAGGGAAGCAGCCACTTCCTTTAATGGAACAAAAGTGCGCTAACCATTTTAAAAGCCAGATTGAAATTTTCGCCTGTTTGCGTGTACTTGTCCCGTACTTCTGCAGCCGCCAAACGGCTAATATGGTTTACCTGTCGGCGTGAAGTCAGATAACTGCAAAGGATTCGCAAAATATTGGCCACTGCAACCTGGTTGAAAAGGAAAGAGCCACAAGGACAAAGGGGTGAGCAACATCTTTCCAGATGTACATAAAACAATAAGGAAAAACAAATTCGAGCAAGGCTAGGAAAATTTGCAGAAAACTGTCGTTAAATTGGTAATAATAATAAAATAATAATAATAAACACAATAAAAACATAACCGACTAAGGTACCCGAATAAAAATATACTCTTCAATGGGATAGAAGTCTGTGAGCAATACAAATCAACTTAAAAACAGCAGAAAAATGGTGGATACCTCTATCCTTCTCGGCTTGTTTTCACTGTTCAAGTAAAATTTCCAGCATCACCACATTTGAACTCCTCTTCCCTGTAAAGCACTTTCTGAATCATATCAAATATAAATTTTACAATTTCTATGACCCTTTCCGAAGCTACCCTTCGCTCCTTGCAATTCTACCTCCTTCACAGAAACAACACTCGCTCTTCTCATTCAGAGAAAAGGCGATTAACATTTACTCACATGTATACGTTCGGAAGAAGAGAAATGAAGTACTTGTAGAGAAGAAATTTTTAACAGAGACCAAACAAAAGTGAATGGGTACCACGGCGATACAGAGTGAAACCACACCACAGGGGACGCCCAAAGATAGCGGCATAACCTCAAATTGAAAGACATAAAAAAGATCTGACGGGTAGAGGGAGCAAGGAATCATAAAGTGAAAGATGGAGTGGATCGTATAGTGTAAACTTTCACGATACAGATAGTGACAGACAGAGGTGAAGCGAGCGCGGAGCAGCTAGGAAAATAGAACTTAGTCAAAAAGGACTGTCGTGGCATAAATGAGGAAAAGAAGGACACCTATCGGGCAGAATGACTAATTTTCTTTTCATTCTACTGTAACAGAATATGCAATTGGCAAAGAGTAAATCATATTTGACTTACGCGGTCGCATGCTCACTTGGCAATTCACAACTGTTTATATCCGGTTGCATTGTGTGATCGTTGACGGCGGATATAGCAACGGAAGTGATCGCGGCGACAAGATCACTCTCGTCCTCCGAATCGTAAGCAGCCAGTGCACGTCGATGCGCAGATGGATAGCGCGCGGCCAGTGGAGCAAAAGGAGCCCTGTAATTAGTTTGGTCCTTCACTAGCGTTCCGTTTTCTATCCGAGAAAAAAAAAAACGATAAAGGATGACCACCAAAAAAATGATAACGTGAAGAGAACCTTTACCGTTTCAGTGGTGTTCTCATCAGAGAGAAATGGAAATAATGAGATCGACAAATTGAGAAAGGAGAAAAAACCGGCTCACGGAGAAGAGAAGGACTGCGCCCGTAGAAGGTCAACAGCTAATAAGTGAAAGAAATACACGCGGAATTTTGTACCCGGCACTTCAAAAGCATACAAACGATAAATTAATAGATTTATAAATTTATTAAATATACTCGCATAACAGCATCACAGATTATATCTCGTTTTCAAAATGGAACGATAAAAAGCACCATTTCTCCGAAGTAAGATCCTAGATCCAACATAAACAATTTCATAAATGTGTACAATAAATGAAACATACAGCAAAATAGCAAGGAGAGAAAACAAAAAGAGGCTATAACAGTTGTTAAGGTTGTTGAACTGCCATTGACACACTTGGAACGAGATGAAAAATAATTGTAGGAACATTGCTATATCGTTGATAGTACACATTGCTTCGAGTCCAGACGGCAGAACCAGGTGAATGTTGAAGTGCGGAACGCTGGTCACACCACCACCTACCGCAGAACCGCCACATACACCGCACACCTGAAGGTATATTTTATGAGACTGCAAAGCTAGGAAAAGTGACACTCATTTCAACATATTTCAGCAGTGAGCTCAGGTAGCTTTTAAGACTAAGCCCATGGTGTCAACTTATCATACGCGGGCGGCGCTTTTCCTGAGCTTCAATAACTTATCACCTCCGAGGAAATCCTCTAGGTAGCTTCCACAGAGTATATTTTGTGGAAGGAAACAGGATCATGGATTTGAAATTACTCAAACTTTTTTCGTTATTTTTCTTCACAGTCTCACTATCGCAAAGCCTTAGTCCAAAATTATCCCAGTAATAACCGCTGACCTCCACTTAAAGGGCCTTTCACTCGAGTGTTGTAGACCATCTCTGCTCTTCGCATACACCAAGCCGAATTGTCATATTCTTATAAAGCTTCATGATGCCTGTTTTAGTTTAGTATTTTTATTACAGTTGTAAGTCAGTCGCGGCTTTCACAGTCATCGAAAATGGAAACACTAGAAAGTCGTACTGTGCCTCACTTCACACGCTGTTGGCTCAACCAAAGCAATGGGATGTGGAATCAGTGGATGCCGAGCCTCACCGTCAGACGAATGTATACCACTTATTCGAATCCCGTTGATCTGGCAGCCCAGTGCATGACTGAAAAGACACCAAGTTCATCAGCAAAAACTTTGGGGATTCCAAGAGCGCTAAGTAAAAACTTTACCCGACTGGAAAGACTGAAGGACTGGGAGTGTATGCATCGGCCTACAACCAGGTGAAACACAAGCCTATAACACAACAAAAATCAACCAAAAGGGAGTGATCTTCGGGTGTCAAAAAGATAAGACCCGAGTCAAGCAATCAACTGCAACCTCAAACCTCGATTCACGATAAAAGGGTGAAGGGATTTGAGAACATTTAAAGATAATACACAAAGTTTCCAATACATAAACGCTTGCATTTACCTGGACATCCCTCAGATTTGAGTGTCGTGTACAGTACACATCTCCAACCTCTAGAGCCGTGTCATGTGACGCCTTTGAGATTTTCTCTTTGCCATCTTTGATTTTCGTTCGTTCTGATGCCGACTCTTCTCTCCAAATCTTCGCTTTTATGGCCGAAAAACAAAGATTTGAAGAAATATAAGCACGAGCGACAAACTTCGTCGACAGAATAGCGGGCCGAACTTCGTCATCCAAAAAGTAAACCAACCGACTCCACTACGCCTTGCAACTGTTTTGGTAGCGGATCAAAGTGAAGCTCTGTAGACTGTTCACACACGCGAGCGAATTCTGAAGTCGGAAAGTAGAATGTAATGGAAATGGGAAAAACTCATAGAGCTAATTATGTAGGAGTTTCAGACTCACCTGATCCGCTGCTGGAGTGCCATAATGGATCCCGAGGCACTAACATAACTAGCCCACTCAGTTGTCTTCCATAGAGTGAGATGGACATTTGAAGAAGTGAACTAACGTCGATATCCTTAGACAAGAGTAAATAATATAAAGCATTGCGATCACGCTTACAAATGCAAATCTCACCTTGACAGGTGTACAAAGCTCTACCATTGAATTTGCAGTCAACAGTCTGACGTTGTGCATCGACTTCAGCTGTGCCCCTATGAATGAATCGATTTCGTTGCAAAAAAATGGCCAGTTCGAAAGTACCGTCTTTAAGGTAATTTTTCTCAAAACGGTGAGAGCAGGATACAATATTTGAATCGAAGTGATTCTGTTAATGAATTATAAATATGGAATTAATTATGCAATATAGGAGTCTCCAAGATCACGTTCAGACTCCTTGATCTGGGAGGTTAGAAAATGCGGCAGTAGTGAAAAATAAGTATTGAATGAGAAGTTAGGAGAGTAGGAAATCTGACTAAAAATTAGCATGCGCTGATGATCAGACTCTCCAATACCTCATTCATACCTAATGCTTTAGCTTGATCTCCTTATCTTCTACATTCTAATCTCACAGCCTCCCCAAATGTAGAGAATGAACGCGCCCTTAAGGCTTTTGACCGCCCAAAAGTTCAAGGAAACTGCCTAGTATAAGGGATTCATAACCATTACTTGATCTACATTTTTGATGAATCTAATGAAGTGCTAAAATAACGAGACTCTTATCATTCAAAACTGGAGAAGAAAATAAATCGAATGACGAGTC